CCATTTAATATTTGACTACCATATTTAATATTTGACTAGATCATTACCATTGATTTGTTAGATCAAATGATCTAGAATCATTCTTATTTCTTTCACTATTTGTCATTCTCATATGATCCCTTCTCTATATCTCTCTCTATATATATATATATATTTATATATATAAATATAAATATTCCTATTTTTTGAATACCAAATGGCTTGAAAGTTATGGTAATGAACCGCATAATTATAGCATATCAATTGAATAACTGTCGTATATTCATAACACTATATTTTCGAAATTTATTTTTTCACTCTAAAATTGCGAAAGATTATACAAGTGTACCATATATTTGTCGCATATTTATTACACAATATTTTCACAATTTTTGAAGTGAAAAGTTAACTTATTACTGAATGTCGTGAAAAACTTAATAATTTTCACAAATAGAGCTTTTTCACTACTTTTTTTTTTTAAGTTGACACATAAACACTTATTGCACACCGACAATGATGGAGTTAAACGGGCCCGGGGAGGGGGGCGCGGGGGCCGTGAGTCCCCCTCATTTTCTTAAAAAAATCAATATAATATATATTTATAGAGTTAGGATCATGTGAGAATGGTAGATAGGGAAAGAAATAAGAATAAACCTAGATCATTGGATACACCACATCTATGGTTATGATCAAGTCAAAACTTAGTCAATCATTAATGGCAATATAGTAATTTAACATAAATATTATAGTCAAATGTATATATTTGACTAATATTGAGGGCACTATAGACAATACACATTTAAAACACAGTGGACCCCACACACACCAATATCAATCCCCTCTCTCTTCCCCAAACACTGTGCCCGTAATTGATTTTCAACATCTCTCTCTCACACACACACACACACACACACACCGGCAGCGACACATACAACACACACCACCGGCTCTCCGACTGCCCAGTCACTCAAACACACCCACGACCTGCTCTCCGACAGCCCAAATTCCAGCCACGGTCACAATCCAACCGCAAAAAGCACCACCGGTCATGTCGTCACCGTCGACAGTCCCGCTGCCGCCATCGTCCGCCGATTCCAATAGCCCGTCGAGAGCTCACGGAGACAGCTCCCAGATCGACGACGATTAGAGACCATGAAGATTCTTCGACTGGATGAAGAAATACGTCTGAACAGGCCCGAGCTCGTCGCCGAATTTTATGAATTGTACGGAACCACCGGAAGTTTGTGACAGAGGAAGAACAATGGGGCCAGGGCTTAGGAGGCAACATGATGGCAGCAGCGGCTTACACGGATTCCGTACCGGCGAGATGGTGGCAGGGAATTGGTGGTGCAAGTGTGTTTTTTGGGGGTCTGTACAATCCTTGTAGTTGGGGGCTTCAAATGGAAATTTGATAAGATTTGGGGACTTCTATGCAATATCATATATTTTCATGTTTTATAGTTTGCTACTTGTGGCAATTATATAATTTAACAAAAAGCATTTGCAATAATAGTACATAAAATGGGGAAATGCTACCATCCCGATACGGTATCATCCCTTCGGGTGTTTTAACCGTTGGATCATTGATCTTATCTAACTACACGTATATCTAACGGTTAAAACACCCGACGGGATGGTACCGTAACGGGACCGTAGTATCTCCCCATAAAATGTCCAATAATGTGCATATTATCATATATTAATATAGAATAAGTCTAACAATGTTGTGCACGATCTTACCCCCTATTGTGCAGTTTGAATTGGCCGATATTTTGTCTCAAACTAATTTAAAACCGAAAAAATTACGAAAAAATTAATTACTTTATACGATCGATTAATCAAATTAATCAGAATTACATACAATTTACATTATAAAATAATATTTAGTATTGTAACCATGCTTTTAAAAGTAAAAAAAAAATAAAAACTCCAACAAAATAAATTAATTGAATTGATTTTTTGATCGCTATAGTGCAATTGAGCATTGCTAATGTGCAACACATCTAGCACTAATGTGCACTCCAATTGCAATTATTTTTTAATGATTTGCCACAAATCAAACTAAAATGAGAGTATCGTTTTTTTTTTATCGGTTAAATAAACAAACCTAAATCATCTAAATTTTATATTATACAAATATATTTAATATTTAATATTCATTGTTAACATTTAAGCTTATTTTTTGGTTGTAAATACCAAATATATATATTTACAAAGACAATACTTTTGATTTATATAATTCAGTTGTTTCAATTGTTTTTTTTTTTTTTTTAGAGTTGACCTTGAAACGGAATAACTAAAATTTTAAAAGTAACAACAAATAATTTTGCCAAAATAAAATTCAAACACAAAAATCTAGTTCAATCGTTTTTTTCGCTATAGTGCAATCTGACAGTCACTAATGTGCAACACGTCTAACGTTAATGTGCACTCTAAGTGAACTTAGTTTTTAAGGACTTGTCCAAAACCTAAATAGCCTAATAATATTAATATATATTATAAAAATATATATAGTACTTTAATAGTTGTACTTATATTCTATATTATTTTCTATTATAAAGACCTAATATATATACAACAAAATAACATTTTTTTATATAATTCGGTAGTTTCAGTTATTTTCAAGTACAAAGAAACTAAAATTTTAAAAGTAAAAATAAATATTCGACCGAACATATAAAATTCGAACCCAAGATTGTGTATGAATGTTTAGGCCGATATAGTGCAATATGATGATTGCTAATGTGCAATACTTCTAGTATTAATATGCACTCTAAGTGCAACTATTTTTTATAAAAAAATATATTTATTATTTAAATATTTTTATTTAATATTTATATTATTTATAGTTGAAAATATAAAATACTTGTTATATTTTATAATGTGTAATTTATTTATAAAAATAATTCATTGTTATATTATAAAATTATATTTTATATTTTAATAAATTATTTTAATATTTTATGGTATTTTTTGTGATTTAAATTTAGAATAATATATGTTTATAAAGTGCAATATCAAATACCTTATTGTGCATATGTTTTATCATTAATGTGCATCCTAAAATACAAACATTTTTTAAGGTGCATATACACAAGCACTACATCTTTTACTATTAGTCTATTAATATGCATTTATCATATTTTATATAAAATTAATATTGAATCCAAGTACCAAATTGTAATATAATTAAAATTAAAGAAATTGCATATATGTCCCTTAAATGGATCTAATTTACAAAACTAAGCCCCTAGCATAAAAACTTATTGGCCCTTCAGACCACCCCTCCTGTCGCCGCCGTCCCGACCACCGGAGGATCGCCGATCGGATTCACCATGTTCAGCCACCGTTTTGGCTTTTGAACCACCAGAAAACACACGATTTCCGCCATGGCTGGATGAGCTGAACAAGGCTTTCACGTCCGACCACCTTATCTGTCCATATTGTGAATTT